TTTTTTTTCCAAACGAAAGCTTCCCTGACCCTTCATGATGTCAAAATATTTCCCTTCATGGTGAGGATGCTTTCCTTACTCACACGTCTTCATTTCAGGGAGAAAATTATCCAGAGCAGACAGGTTTCCCCCTTAAAGCAGCCTCGGAGGGAGCAACATATTACCTATTGCAGGTGCATTACGACAACCCCATGCTCGTCGACGGGATCTACGACGATTCCGGCCTTACGATTTATTACACGGATAATCTCCGGACCTACGACATGGACACTGTGGTGTTCGGTCATAATGTCGTCTACGCCCAGGTAAATGACCTGTATATAATAAGATTTTCTCAGGAACTTTATCACTTGAACTAACTTTTGAGATGAACTTCATTCTGCTGCTTGCAACTCACCGAAAAGACCCAACCCTGGAATTTGCATGATCGACGTATGAAACCAATTTTCTTAATCCACACCTAATAGTTGAGCTATACATCTATAGGCGCGGTAGAACTTATTACCTTTCTTCAACCCCTTCTCGTAGTGAAATTCAACCTCCTCGTATTCCACTCTGAGAGCATCAACAGGAACGAATTTAGCTTGCTTCTTCCTCTCTCAACACAGAATTTCCAGCGAATTTAAGACATGAGAAAGATATTGACTGGCAGATGACGAAAAGTGGTCTTTTGGTTGTTTGTGATTCACCATTTCGCCATGAAAAGTGAAATTAGCTGTGCTCCATTAGGCTTAGAGAACTTGTTCCGGTACGGTCCCCAGGGTTGCCGGATAGCGTGCCGAAATTACGCCAGATTCAAGACTATTTCAACATTCGTATCGGCGTCTGGATCCTATGTTTGTTAATGCATGAGACATTTTCGTCCTGAATTCCTGAATTAAGCTGAGAATGAAGCGGTGATTGATCGATACTGTGGGATATCGAGATATGTCATACGGACATCCTGGAATCAACAGAATGGCGTGCGGCATGGATTAAATTCTTCTTGGAGGCATTCCCTCCTCAGACCTATTCGATATGATTCGAGGAACTCCAGATAGGCCTAACGCTCCACGTCAATGATTCATGAAACGCGAAACAGGCTTCGAATTGGACTAACGTTACACGTCCTCTGTGAAATGATTCATGAAATTATGAATAGGCATGCGATTATCCTAACGTTATACGTTCTTGACGACATGTCTCAAGACGAATTCATACTTTTAGGCCAAATTATCCTCGTTAGTCGAGAATTTAGTTTCTTTTCAAAGAAAAGATAGGCCTTGGCGTGACCAGAAGGCATTCTGTTGGTTAGGCCTAGGCCTAACGTTAGTGAGTCGCGTAGAGAAGAGGGGAGGTTGAGGAAAGGGAAAGCCATTAAAATAGGTTTTCACATTACTCCATACATGTATATTTATTTGAAGACTCTAAGTGATTTGCCTAAAATGTGATTGTTGTGAAATGGCACGGAATGAGGGAGGAAGCAGCACTAGGCACCGCGGTAGTATGGCACAACTGGATCTCACTACTCAATATGCCTTTAATGTGCAGCAATGCCTGAATAGACCGTAGCGTCTCTGGTCGTATCGACGTGATCCCCGATGAAGATGTTGACTCAAGATTTTTCGCGACGAACAGCAGGGAGAAGAATATAACAGACGTCAAGTGGTTTAAGTGACTAATGACTAAGCCAACTAATGAGAAAGAAATACTGTTTCCAGTTGGAAGTTTTCTGATAAACTTTGTCCTCACTAAATCTTGAAGCACTTATTCCGTTTCAATTCTCGAAGTTTCGAATTCTTACGTCGACTTTCATTTATATATGCCGAAGCGATATCCCTTTTCTGCAAAAGTGTTTGTTTTAAGCATTCAACTACTTTCAATGAATCTAACTTTTGCGCCGGCCAAATTTCTCCTACTTCAGAACAGCCAAGTAAAAAAATTTTCAATCTTAGGATAGCTTTATCTCTCATCCCGCCAAGGCTTGATTCGAGACATGAGCTTTGCGTTTCCTCTTTTTGCGCGGATATATCCGGACATGCGTGCACAAGCGTGATCCCTCGCGCTTGAACGTGCGTGGACGCGTCCAGACGTGAATTTTGCAATAATTACAAAATCGCACAAGCAACGCACAAAAAAACCACAGAGGGTAAAATTGTGTTTAGACAAGCTCATTTCGCTATAACATGGATGAGAGTTTCATTTTCCATTCCGTTGACTTTCTTTAATAGCACAAGCGAAGTACAAGATATCACTGACCCGCAATAACTAGTCGGTGCAGACTGTTCCTTTTTTGCATGTAGCAATTTCATACTGGATCAATGGCACTGTAGCTAACTAGTGGTTCTTCAAGTGACTACCTGCAAGTTGCGCTCATATCACTAGGCTATCGTTAGTCGCACCAACAAGGTATAAATTTCCAACCTTTGTACCTTCCTGGAAATACGACTGGATCCTACTGCCAATCTCGTCTTTCTTTTTTAGCTTGTCCCACCAGGATTGAACAATTTCATGACTGTGGGACACTGTTCTGCAGAATGCACGGAGATGCTCCTTCCTCCTGAGGGTATTCACATCTTCTCTGGGCTGCTGCATGCCCACCTCCTCGGTATATCTTTATCACATCTATCCCAAATTGCCTAGTTTGTTGAATTGAAGACTCAAGGTCTCAACAGTTCATTCTGAGAGGAAAATGATTTATTACTCATATATTGCTTTTGTGGCGAACGACCACGATAGAGGCATGTCCTGCAATAAGTGCAAGATAATACTGTCCCTTTCGAATTTTACTCCGTAAAGTGATGTCAATGCTCACATGCGAACTTTAGAACGATGGATTGACGGTGGAAAATTCGTGGAAGTTGGTGTATAGAAAAAACGTCGAACAATAAATTGTATGTGGACCACTACCTTAAGTAACAGGATATATTTTCCATCGTATATTAGGGTAATTTGAGGGAATATGGCCCTACAAAATGAGCCCTGGTCATAACGGCCCATCAAGGTCGAATTTGACTTTAAATGTTTCTAAAATACTGATTCATATATACTTAACTAAATCCCAGCAAGGTACATACAAAAAACCGCATGGATACTACACCTTTGGATCTTTTCCAAGTTGGTCCTAAGAGGCCATAATATCCGTATTGTCGCGGGAATATGACCACTCCTCAAAAAACAGCTCAAGGTTTTCCATGTCAGCGTGAAATATGCAGGAATATACTGAGTACCATGAAACATAAGGGAGATTCAGCAGTAGAAAAATCATTCATTAAGTGCATTGAGGACTAGCAAAGAAGTTGACATTAGTATCCGACTCAAGGACCTCTTGCAAAAAGCAGGATTGCAATAATAAGGAAGAGCAATCATAAGTTAAAGTGAACATGCGCTACGAGTGTAAAATAAGTGGTCTCATATTGCAGGGAAACGCTGCGTAGTTTTTGCAAGTATGGATAAAAAGGGCCAAAAAAAATCACAAGAAGACCTTTTAACTTTTGTGCCACGGATAATTACTTGCATTCAAATTTCGTGCCACGAAAAAATTTATGGCGAAGCAATGTCCAGGAGGCAGTGCATGAGCATGTCTTCATACACGGCCTCCTCATGTACTGCATATTTCGTCTAGATGAGCAATACGTCCATCCCTATATCCAGAGGAAGTGCATTGGATGATCTTTTGCAGCCTGTGATCCCACATGAAAGGAAGCTGACCCTACCAATAGAACAGTGCAATGCTAACAGGAAATGAAGGATGTGTCCAGATTACCCCAAATCGAGATGCCCATATTCCCCCGTATTGGCTTGAATGAAAAAATTGACCACACTCTCTGCAAACTGCAAGTGAAGGGGCTAGCGCTTTACACAAGCATTCTAGAGGGACCATGGAAGAACTTCGAAGAAATGATTTCTGCATCCATGCTGCTATTAGAAAATATACGCTTAAGTTGCTCGAGGCTCATATTAGTTTCAAGGCTATGAGTCAAAGAATCGCATGCAAATGACTTTCAAGACATCGTTATATCCCGAATTCCTTTGAGAACTGCATCAAAGATCAAGTCGAAACATTTCATAAATTACATGTACTCTTCCAAAGAACATTTTTTTTACTTCGCCCTTACAATTTATTCAGCCTGTAGAAGGATTCATTGTGAAGTGCCCTATTACCCCATTAACCACTTCCCCGAAGTTACGCAATCTAGTTTCATTAAAATATACCTTGCAAAATTTAATACCTAGATGGGATTGTATAATAACTTAGTACAGTGCCTGGCGATTCCAATTCAGGATTTAAATATCCTCCCTTCATTTCATGTATTCAGTGCAGGATAGGACATTTATTATCGAAAACTCCAGCGCACATATCTGGCGGAACATTAAAGAAAGACCCTCTGAGCAGCTGCCTTAAGTTTTGCGAAGTTAGCGGGCTGCAGTGCACAAAATTCACTTTTTGCTCCGTTGTTAGTGTGTCCACCATCGTCTTGAACAATTCTGGTTAAGTTCTGGAGGGTACATAAAATATGAAATGGAACACTTATACCTAATTGAGCTCCAAAAATAGACAATATTTTGCAGAGAGCAATTATACTTTTTATTACGAAAGACAGCAGACAATTTCGTCACAATTTTCGTGCTGCCATACCGTGACGTAACCCATGTGATTACAATATTATTGTCTACTTTGCAATTTCGCAAGAAGTCGTCGTGATTTTGAAAAAGTTTAAAGACATCCAACAACTAGAGATATTTGAATCTGGCAGGGAGAAAGATGAGAGCCCGAATATTCAGGGACGGAGAGGAACTTTCTTGGATCCTCCACGACGAAAACTACGCCTTCGACTACCAGCAGAGCCGCGTCCTCAGAGAGGAGTTTATACTTCTTCCCGGTGATCACATGACCATCGGTATGATGAACCTCATCAGTCTGCAGACAGGGAAATATCATGTGGTTTTCATATTCATCCCTTACTTCCAATGTCAAAACCTTATGACTTAATGTGTCTTTTACACACGCCTATTGCGTAGTGAAAATGACCTGTCATGGAAAGGTAGTGAAGCATTTCAAGTTTTTTTTCATTATGAAGGAGATAGCCAAGGCCTCCTGAATCCCACCATCACCAACACATTCGACAACTGATTAGCGAGAAATTGAATTTTCCTTAAAGGTAGCAATATTACTCCGTAATTTTTACTGAGCTGAAATGCACAGTGTTTATGCCACAGTCTCATACATCCAGCAAGTGGCTTCGTGGTCACACTGAAAATTGCCAATTACATGTTCTCCCTTTTCCAATTTTTCCCGTGGCAAAGTGTTGCAGTTGACAGGTCGCTCGGCCATCCAAGATGATTAAAAATGCAAACAGCAGTAAATAAACATATTTTCTGGTTGATTTCAAATGCCGAAGCTGAAGTCATGATTACATCTGCCGAATACTATTCCGATATTTCTTCACAAAGAAACCATTCACATTTGCTAGCCTTACATGAATGAAAACCACAAAAAATCCCGTAGGAAATGCAGTGAAGAAGGAGAGTGCGTGTACATGTCCTCGACCTAAAAGTTTACATCATTCAATTCAGAGTGCGAGTTGTCTTCTTCGGAACAAGAGGACGTGACCGTTGGAGGGCTGAAAACACAAGACGAAATGTGCGAACTTTTCGCCATGTATTACCCTCGAGTGGAAGGGATGAACGTCTGCCTCACGAGCGTGGACTCCCAATACTTCCACTCCACATTTGAACTTGGTGGGGTGCACATGAACTGGTGAGTCTTTTTGAGTTGGAAGTCATTGCATTGAAAAGAAAATTAAGAAATATAGAGAAAATGACTTGAAAAAAAAACCAGCAATGTAAGATCAGCAACCGACTCATTTTTGGGCTATTATTTCCGTTCCTGTTATGCATCCTAAGTTCCCCTTTTTTTTCTTTTTTGTTCAAGGAAACTTTACCAATTTGAGTAACTCCATTGCATTAGAAAACAATTACTTTGAGAATCTCCTGCTTTTCGTTCCAAACTTCAAACGTGGAAGCGGAAAATTTTCCCTTCCTCTAATCCCTCTTGTTCCCATCCTTGATATGTCAGTTCAATATGGGACATTTTGAACAGAATCTTCCGCAGCTAAATTTAAATGACAGAAATGAAAACCTGGACAAGTCTACACACGAGATGTAGGTTATTTCGTATTTCAATGTATTAATATATTTATGTTTGAAAGTGAGTTTCCTTAACAGAGAGTTAGCAAATCCATTCAGCCTTCTCTCATTTTAAGCAAAACCACATTTTATACAAAGAAGCAGGGGACTCCCTCTACATTAGAAGAACATCTTCATTCAGTGAGAGAAGCAATAACTCAGAGCGTTTTGTGACGTGAAAGCAAAATGAGCAAGACATGAAACGGTTCGTGTCAATATTTGGAGTTGCCAAAATACAAATAAAACTTGGTTCGTCGAAACAAGCCGATCAGCATAGGTCAGGAACGAGGTTGCTGTATAATTACATGTTCATAAGTTTACCTACGCGTCAGCATGAATTATTAAGACGATTTCCCAAGCAGCATGTTTACGTGAACAAGATATCAATTTTTGCCAATAATGTAAATTTCTTGCGATTGCCATGAAGATGACATCACGTATACGTAAAATTTACGTTCTTATGTCTACGTCACCAAAGTCTACGTGTATTTTACGTAAACTGGACATCACTCCATTTGACGTGAAGTACATATCAAGTTCATGCAAAGTTAACATCACACTTTCCATATGAAACTTTAACTGACCATCCCACAGTTGCAATACCAAGCTTCCTCATTAGATGGAACCCTTGTTCCCTGCACTCTTCAAATGCTATTAAGTACTGGCTTTCTCGATATAGTATCAGGTTTTCCTTCCATCCTTCCACTTTTTATTATGCAATCCATGAATATATATATGGAAAGCAGGAAATTATTACATCTTCTTAATAATATATGACTCAGGGAATCATTAAATGCTGAAGCTAAACTTGTTATTACAGCAGTGCATCGGATTAGGGAAGAGTAGAATCCTAGCTTTATTAGTACAATACCTTCTCCATCTTTAATGGAAAAGAACTCCTCCAAACCCTCATTCCAACTCCCGAGGTCCTGGTACGGGAGGAGAAACTAGTGAGTCATCTTGGTACTCTTGAGTGCTGGTGAGGATAGGTTCTTGCGTACTCGTCCAAGTAACCTTGAGTTCCAAAGTATGGTAAGGAATGGGAGAAATACAGGTAATCAATTTCCTTCAAAAGTACGAATTAGCTCGTTAAAAACGCATGAATGCTAAAAGAAAAGTAACATCAATTTAACGTAAAATGAATGTAACCATGCTGTAGGGGATGTAAACGGGAATGTCCATTTTACGTAAAATGTACGTTTATTTTATATCACCGTTTACGTATTACAGAGGTGACATTTCTGCAAACATGTTGACATTATCTTGATGATGGATCGCGTAAAATGTATGTAAAATAAACAAAAACGTTACATTCATTTTACGTAAAATTAGCATAAACATGCTGCTTGGGATTGTTCAAAAGACTCGCGAAGCAAAGGTGAAATTTATTTTTCTGCTCGGAAGGGAATCACTTGAATGGGAACTGGACGCGACGAATCAGACCATTCATGAGTACTTCAGAGGCTTCAATTGGGAGAACTTCGACCTGGAAGCCTATCAAGAAGCCGTTCGATTCGATCCTCAGCCAGGAATTTGCGGACGATCTCCCAACCTTTTTGTATGCATTCCTAACCTCCTCTTATTTCCATTTTTGCACGAAGCATGCTAGCCTGTTCTTGTGTGGATTGAACCGTTCCTGCAGGAAGTGAAGGACGTGACATTCCCAGAATACGAGAGCGAATACCAACCTCCGCCGAGACAGTGCCCCGTGGAGAGTCCCAACCATTGAATTTTCATTTTCGCTTCATTGTGACTGAAAATACATAGAATCCTTTTCTCGGAAGGGCGATTGTCAATTCGGCGGTCATTGTTTTCGATGTCGTTCCGTTTCGAGACAGGTGCACTTCAGTTAGGCACAGACAGATTGAACATTCATTGTGACTGAAAATACATAGAATCCTTTTCTCGGAAGGGCGATTGTCAATTCGGCGGTCATTGTTTTCGATGTCGTTCCGTTTCGAGACAGGTGCACTTCAGTTAGGCACAGACAGATTGAACGAAGGACTGCGGAGAAACAACTCGTCCAACGCGTCTAACAGATTTAAGCCACTCCCTTTTTCTTTTAGTCCTTATGAAGTGCAATTTATTACCTGAACAACAATCCAATTCATTTCACTTACCCCGTGTGCCAGTTGAGATCACCGTATCTCCTTCGATGCTTTCCATCGAAATAGTGAAATATTGACAAGTGAAACATGGACGAGCAGGATAATACTCGAAGAAGTTCCTGACTCTTCACTCCCCTGAAGTTGAGTATTAATATTTCACCAAAGAAGCTTGGCATGGTCAATGAAATTGCAATTCAGCCAAGTAGAAGAACTGGTATTTGTCATCCAGAAAATGGCAGGTCGGAATCTCTCAGGGCAACTTCATTTTCCGTCTGAAATCCCCACTACCTACTCTATCTCGCAATTATTCGCTCAAATGATACACGACGAAAGATCCTCACGCTGCTGACTTTGCATTGAATGCGGTCCATTTCGAGACAGATATAATATATATTTTTTGAGCCTTTGGTTGGGAAAGAGCCGATTCTATTTTCCTCCTAAATTCAAGATCCTGAATGGAATCACGAATCAAAGGCAAAGAAGAATGACATTCTTTCGATGGGGCAGAAGTGCATCATATGCCCGACAAGTACAGGCAGAATTGAATTGATGAATTTCTATTGTGGAAAAAATATGTCTCCCATGTGATACGTTTTGATCGCATTATATTTTCAAGGCGATAAAAATCATCACATGGAGTAAAGTTTTTTTTTACGACCGAAATGCCTCAATTGTATGTCCTCGATACTATGAGCGAGGCAGTCGAAATACAAGTAATCTCTTGACGGGTGGATTTTTCATTTTTGCGAAATGAGTCAATTAGGACAGAAGCTTTGTTACAGGAGGGGCTTCATTTAGGCGTTTTTGGCAAAAACTCATGCCTTGCTTCGCTTCTCACATCTTTCCATTGTAAATGATGGTGTTTGAGAATCATTCTTCGAGAACGTGCTATCTTTTAAGAAGCAAATAAAAAATTTATTTTATGTGAGTAACGTCTCATGGAAGTGTTCCACACACATTTGAAAGACAGTCAACACTGTCACAACATTTTGTCATACACTAATGTAAAAAAAAACCTGTCAAAATGTTTTATGACCATGTCCTCATTCCACGTAACGAAAATAGACTTATTCCCAAACAAACGTTACAAGAAAGCTATTCATCTCTTTCCCCATGTGATTATATCCATTTTGAAAATGGTCAAATAAAGCTGAGACTTAAACACTTTGACCAACTTCAGTGACTGACACCTGCACTTTCCACACCATGAATCCAGACTTCTAATGCATCATTAAAAAGTGTCTGCTACGCCCTTTCTAACAAAACAAAATTCAAGGTTGGCACTCAATGGGTCACCCAACGTCAGACTTTCTCCACATTGGTCACCTAATAGCTATTCACGTTCCTTCCAGTTTCGTTGGAGGAAGAGTGTGCGCCTAAGCGTCCGTTTGTGGGCTAGGCTCAGGCTTACAATATCAGTCCCCCCCTGAAATGGGCCCCCAGGGCACGTACCCCCAAAGTTGTAATTTTTCCGGAGTCAGCAATGTAAGAGCTATTCGTGTACCAAGTTTCAGCCTCTCATCTTTTCTGGAACATGGTTCAAATTAGCGTCAGTCTGTCCGTGACTAACTGAATAATCGACTACATGACTTGGATTAAATGGTTCATCAGTCCGGTATCGATCTACTCACGTTCTTTCCTACTACTTTCAACAAAAACTAACGCTAATTTATTCATGTTAGACTAATAAAGCCATACAGTATCTTACATAGGAGATTTCAAGGAGAAAATACAATAGTAGAAACAGGCAATTGCAAAACTAGAATTGCAAGCACATGATCAGGATCGATACTGCTGAACATCGAGCGGAAACAAGCATCAAACAAACCAAACTCGTTTCACCAACTGGTTTCAGTTCAGCTCCGCTAGCATTCGTCGGTCTGATTAGGACTGCGCAGGTTGACTAACTGATAGGAAAAGGTGAGAACTCATTCTAATTTTCGAAAGATCGGGCGAAATATTGGTTAGCAATCATGCCAAGAAAAATGCTTTATATTTCGAAGAATGTTTTGGAAGGGCATGGATGTGCAGAAGTTCTGGATGATTTACCACTAAGGATATGATTATTGGTTGAGCTATAGTTTCAACTGGGAGATGGAACCGAAGAGAGGGATTTCCATTGAGAAATTCACCATCTGTGGACAATATCCCGTTGCGAAATTTTGCTTTCGCTGTTTGAACACGTGCGGTTTCTCTCAAGGATGTCGAAAAAACACTCTGGACTTTTCTCGGGGCAGTAATTTCTCAGTGGAGAAGCAATGCAGACTGGTGCAAGACGGATACTACTTTTATTATTGATCCCCCTTGTTCTGGTTCAGCCTCAGACATGGGAGAGGCATGAAACCTTGGATCGAGATGGGATTGTGAATTTATTCTGGACTCCGGATTTGGAGAATGGGGTGATAACATTCGAGCTACACGTGAAGACTCAGGGATGGGCCGGATTGGGCTTCTCGGCCAATGGTGCCATGCCTGGATCTGACATTGTCGTCGGATGGGTCAAGGATGGACAGAGCTACTTCTCGGTAACGACATGAAAGATCATGAGTCCCAATCCTTCGTATATCATAATACCTTGTAACACAGTACGACGTATCTATTTACGTATCTTCTTCTCATCAGCTTTTCATGGATCAATTTAGGTTTAAAGCTTAGGTAAACCAATATTTTTAGACAACATCCCTTTTTTTGGACCACAATTGGCCATTAATGAAACCAGCAATACTTTTCTGTTCTCTAATTTATTTTTATTCAGGTTGGACATGGGGAAACTTACCAGTACAGCGCAAACTAATTTCACTTTTCTCCAGTTTTCAAACTTAAAAGTATGAATTAAGGGGCATTGTACCCTTTGCTCTATTTATTTATGTATCACATCTATGTCTTGCTTCATTTGCTTTGCCAGGACCGACACGCAGTAGGAAACGAGCTGCCTTTGGTGGACGAGCGTCAAGACTACGAACTCCTCTTCGCATCAGAGGACGAAGAAGGGTTGACCCTAAGATTTAAACGTCCCATCGACACCTGCGATGAGGATGACTTCTACATCACTGTACGTAAAAGGCCAAGAAGAAGGCTCATTATTCCTCATTTTTTAGTAGATGCTCTTAAAGTCGTGTCGCACTAAAATAAAAATAAAAATAATCTGAGATTCATCAGCTTCTTATTGTAGATCTGATTTCTTTGCTTTCCAGGAAATTTTCCTGCTCTCCGTTGTAATATGATAGAACGACTTATATGCAGTATCCAACAATAGGAAGGATTGGTCATGATGTCACATTGTCAAAATTATTGGGACAAAGGATTATATGACAAGGAACTACCATTCCAGGTTCAAACTCCATCAGCTCCAATCCGCGCGCTATATAAGCAAACGCTGCCTGTAACAGATTGCAGACGATCGCAATAGACTTTTAGACAAAAGTAATGCCCTCTACTTCTTGAGCTCTAGGACAATCCGTTATCGGTGGAGGGAGGCTTGTCCTAATACTTTTGGCAATATCATGGGAGTCATTGTTTGCTTTCAAGGAATTTGAAATAGACCTCTAACTCCAATAAATATCGAAGAACAAATTTTCTTGAATATCCTGCCTCACAATAGATCCTTAGGGGTAACTTCAGACACAAATTAGGGTAATTTATTTACGGTTCACACCTCCACTGGGTGTGCCAATAAGGATAGGCTTTTTTTCTTACACAGATATCGCCTCCTGTCTCAAGGGGGCAACATCTATGTAAAAGGCATCCCAGTGAGCACACTCACTTTGGGCCAACTTAGGGACTTTTTTGGATTCCCACATATGCGGTGTGGGCCCAACATTCGTTCCTGACGTTGGGCCCCTCCAGGCTTGTCCTTCAGTCCTACTTATGGACGAAGTTGAAAGTCTACTTTGTGGACCTTCAGCATGACTTTCAGGCGCTTAGTAGAGGCCTGGAAAAAGCGTCCATATTTGTGCATCATTGTTCCACTCCCTCACCGCGTACCTCCATGCCCTCCTTGATTGACTTCTACGGGAATTTCAACTTCCAAATGGGATTAGAATCCGATTGTGAATTGATGCCACACACATCTGGTTCTTTTCCCACTCTGGAAGTGGTGATCATGTGCAACCTATTGAGTGGTTTCTTCTTCTATCACCTGGATCTACTGTATATCCTACGAAGGGGGTCCAGCCTTTACTCCGTGATGAAATTATCCCCTCCCTATTGAGTCAGGCTCCGATTTTAATAATGCATCCTCTAGAATTACCAGTAGTCTCCCTGGACCGTTCAACCTGTTTAATCAAATGCTGAGGACTTGCGCTACGTTGTTTGTGGGAAAATATTCCGTACAGCTTGAAAGTACAGGGGCTTTTATAACGAGTGATTTGCAATACCGCTGAAGAATCGTATATTTGTGGGACTTCCCAGGCAATTGTGGGAACCTTCTTTTGTTTTGCAAATTACAGATACATGACTCACCCACAGATAGGACAAATGTTTGCAGCTGCGCTAGAGTCGAAATGGACAAACATTGGCAGCCTATTGCAATAACGGCCATAATTTCCAACATGATACAAAAAAATTACAAACTTGGAATTTCCACAGTCTGCTTCAAAAAACGTCAAGCAAGACGCGTTTTTCTCTTTGCGCCACCCGATATTAGGCAGAAACTTCGGTTGTTGTCCCTGTTTACTCCCCAGTCTACTCTAAACATATCACCAATAAGTAGAAACAAAGAGGGAAATAAACAGCAAAGTAGTCTGGAAAATTATGACGAGTAAAATTGTCTTTTTATGTTATATTGGTCCAGTTCAGTTTAGAATATCTGCCGGTAGAAATATGATAGAACTTTGTCCTATATGGCCTACACGTCGCACGCCACTTTTTTCCTAGTCCGACACTAGCATGAATGAAGATATTCATGCGCGGTTCTTCATGCACAGAGTGACACGTGGAGTGTGATCTACGCATTTGGTGAGACTGATCCAGACGAGGAAGATCCATTCTACCACGGGCGAGACAATCGTGGTGTGAAATCCGTCAATCTCCTCGACCCACAAAATGGTACTACTTCGTATATTCAATGACGAGTCGTTCCTTTTATGGCGGACCAGTATACAGAATTTTCCATCCATTTGACAATGCCAGGGGATATACCAGATGAGCCTGGAGTGAAGGAATGGGAATTGAGAAATGACATCATCATCCCTCCCATCGATACCACCTATTGGTGCAGTGTATTCAAAGCCCCCCCAGTCGACAGAAAGCATCACATCATTGGGGTAACTGGGAAAAAAAAAGAGTAAAGCTTATTTTAATCCTGTGAAATCATGATGCATCACATCCAAGTCATTCCTTGTTACAGTACCAACCGTGGATAATGGAAGGGAACGAAGCGTACCTGCACCATTTCGTGGTAGCTACGTGCACGGTGAACGAGGACGAAGAAACAACCTTCGAGCAGTTCATGCAAGATTATCCCCACGGTGTATCTTGCTTTGATTATAGCATCAATCTCCCCATTCAGAAATGCCAGAATGTCCTCATGGCATGGGCCGTCGGTGGAGTGGTAACGTTCTCCATTCACCTTTCCTTAACTTTGGTTGCTTTCTTTCCTGCTCAACTATTTCGACAAAGCTGATGCGAGCTGGAACTAAAGAAACGTCTTGAAGGGTCTTCCTTTGGAATATTTGACCAATGAATTCTTAAAACGAACTGCGTCTACTAATTAGCCCGTGAGAGTGAAGACTCTCATCTCATCAATGAATTGCAAAATCTAAGCGACCTCTTAAAATTAGTTATCGTCAACTTCGTGTCAGGACCTCTCGGGCAGTTTATGAAAACGACTGAACAGCCTGACCCATAATGATATCGAATAAAAGACCAGCTGTTCCCCCAGAAAAAGAATATCTGAACACTTATATTCTGGATATTTATGGTCATATGGAAGAGGCGGACCCCTCGCTATATTTTTCTGCCGAATGATTCGGAGCAACGCAAAATTACTTGAGCAACAATGAATTTTCGATGAAGCGTGCGTCGAAAAAATGTGTCAAATTAAGATATGCAACGTGTACCCTCGTACTAACTCAAACCCAACTGAGATTCAAAAATGGTTAGTTCTCTCCCGAATTACCAAAGTTGCTGCTGAGAAACGTTCATTTGAAATGAGACATCCAAAAGGAGTATGACTGAGACTAAGTAGAAAAACGAAATTTGAACTCCGGGGACTAAGGGCAGAGCAAACTTCATGAAAAGCCTATGTAAACTGAAAAGAAAAACATATTGTAGTTTTTTGTGCCATAGACAATCACCGCGAAAATCAAGTAAATCTAATGCGTTTGATTTTTGTGCAACACATTAACAATAATGGGATCTTCATCATATGCATAAAAAATTGTCATATATTCTTTTATTGCAGTATTATGAGGCCGGTGGACGGGGCTCTTTCTTTTTTTAAGCAATCGGGTAAAATTGACGCCCTGACAGTGTTAAAGATATGTGAAAGTGTTCTCCCTTCGTTATACCGTGACCTCGCACAAATTTTTGATATGAAATTGTACTTAAATGTTTTTTCATTTCTTCGCATTCTGGCATATTTAAGCGAAATTCCTTTCCTCTTTGTACATGTACACTGTTTTTCTCGTGAAAAGTTGGAGACATTATGAAAGTTCAGAAAAAAATGCGGCTACACGCTATAAGTACAAAAATTATTTTTTAGCAACAATTGTTGGGAATTTCCTTTCCTGGCCCCTGTCTCGATAAAAAAAAAACTGTACTAAAACTTTACTGACTTCTTATGATGTCCATATATTTTCTTTCACAGCGAGGATGCATTCTTTAGTAACACATCTTGATTTCAGGGAGAAAATTATCCAGAGCAGACAGGTTTCCCCCTTAAACCAACCTCAGAAGGGGCCACGTATTACCGATTGGAGGTGCATTACGACAACCCCATGCTCGTCGACGGGATCTACGACGATTCCGGCCTCACAATTTACTACACGGATAATCTCCGGACCTACGACATGGACACCTTGGTGTTCGGCCATAATGTCGTCTACACCCAGGTAAATTTAATAACTGCAAGAGAAGGTCCGAGGGTCACTCAATAAGTTATCTACCTGAATAAGAAAGAAAAATAAGAGGGGAAAAATAACACTTTATCT